GGTTGTACTAGTTCATGGTTGTACTTGTTCATGGTTGTGTAGGTTCATGGTTGTACTTGTTCATGGCTGTACAAGTTCATGGTTGTACTAGTTCATGTTTGTACTAGTTCATGGTTGTTCTTGTTCATGGTTGTACTAGTTCATGTTTGTACTGGTTCATGGTTGTACTAGTTCATGGTTGTACTGGTTCATGTTTGTACTAGTCCATGTTTGTACTAGTTCATGGTTGTACTGGTTCATGTTTGTACTGGTTCATGCTTGTACTAGTTCATGGTTGTACTTGTTCATGGTGGTACTAGTTCATGGTTGTACTTGTTCATGGTTGTACTAGTTCATGGTTGTACTGGTTCATGTTTGTACTAGTTCATGGTTGTACTAGTTCATGGTTGTACTTGTTAATGGTTGTACTAGTTCATGGTTGTACTGGTTCATGTTCGTACTAGTTCATGGTTGTACTTGTTCATGGTTGTACTTGTTAATGGTTGTACTAGTTCATGGTTGTACTGGTTCATGTTTGTACTAGTTCATGTTTGTACTAGTTCATGGTTGTACTTGTTCATGGTTGTGTAGGTTCATGGTTGTACTCGTTCATGGTTGTACTTGTTTATGGTTGTACTTGTTCATGGTTGTACTGGTTCATGTTTGTACTGGTTCATGGTTGTACTAGTTCATGGTTGTACTTGTTCATGGTTGTACTTGTTCATGGTTGTACTAGTTCATGGTTGTACTTGTTCATGGTTGTACTAGTTCATGGTTGTACTGGTTCATGTTTGTACTTGTTCATGGTTGTACTAGTTCATGGTTGAACTGGTTCATGTTTGTACTTGTTCATGGTTGTACTAGTTCATGGTTGTACTGGTTCATGGTTGTACTTGTTCATGGTTGTACCAGTTCATGGTTGTACTTGTTCATGGTTGTACTAGTTCATGGTTGTACTGGTTCATGTTTGTACTTGTTTCTTGGTTGTACTAGTTCATGGTTGAACTGGTTCATGTTTGTACTTGTTCATGGTTGTACTTGTTCATGGTTGTACTGGTTCATGGTTGTACTTGTCCATGGTTGTACTGGTTCATGGTTGTACTGGTTCATGGTTGTGTAGGTTCATGGTTGTACTTGTTCATGGTTGTACTAGTTCATGGTTGTACTTGTCGATGGTTGTACTGGTTCATGGTTGTACTGGTTCATGGTTGTGTAGGTTCATGGTTGTACTAGTTCATGGTTGTACTATTTCATGGTTGTACTGGTTCATGGTTGTACTGGTTCATGGTTGTGTAGGTTCATGGTTGTACTAGTTCATGGTTGTACTATTTCATGGTTGTACTGGTTCATGGTTGTACTGGTTCATGGTTGTGTAGGTTCATGGTTGTACTATTTCATGGTTGTACTGGTTCATGGTTGTACTATTTCATGGTTGTACTGGTTCATGGTTGTACTGGTTCATGGTTGTACTGGTTCATGGTTGTACTGGTTCATGGTTGTGTAGGTTCATGGTTGTACTAGTTCATGGTTGTACTATTTCATGGTTGTACTGGTTCATGGTTGTACTGGTTCATGGTTGTGTAGGTTCATGGTTGTACTAGTTCATGGTTGTACTATTTCATGGTTGTACTGGTTCATGGTTGTACTGGTTCATGGTTGTGTAGGTTCATGGTTGTACTAGTTCATGGTTGTACTATTTCATGGTTGTACTGGTTCATGGTTGTACTATTTCATGGTTGTACTGGTTCATGGTTGTGTAGGTTCATGGTTGTACTTGTTCATGGTTGTACTAGTTCATGGTTGTACTGGTTCATGGTTGTGCTGGTTCATGGTCATACTAGTTTTAGACAAACTGGTTCACTATTACACTTGCTCATGATCATTCTGGCTCAGTCATATTTGTTCACAATCTTCCTGGTTTATGATCACAGTTGTTCAATCATACTTGTCAGTGATCATACTGATTCATGATCACATTTGTTCATGATCCCAGTTGTTCATCACATTGTTCATGATCAGTTGTTCATGATCACATTGTTCATGATGCAATTTGTTCATGATCACAGTTGTTTATGATCACATTTGCTCATGACCCCAGATGTTCCTCACATTGTTCATGATCCCAGTTGTTGATAATCCCATTTGTTCATGATCCAATTTGTTTATGATCCCAGTTGTTCATGATTCCATATGTTCTTGATCCCAGTTGTTCATCACATTTGTTCATGATCCCAGTTGTTGATGATCACATTTGTTCATGATCCAAGATGTTCATGATCACATTTGTTCATGATCCCAGTTGTTGATCACATTTGTTCATGATCCCAGTTGTTAATGATCTCAGTTGCTCATTTCATAATGTTCCTCCTCAACATTAACATAAAACAAGAAAAACCAAACTTGTCATGGTTGTTTTATTCTTCATACAGATCACATACACATGTCAACATTTAAACAATTAAACAATGATTGTAAAGATTATGATGTATATAACAGCTGTTTACAAAGATTGATACAAAATTTACCTTGTGACAATTCATTTCACAAATTCTTCAAACAATGTTTTTCTATTATTTGTTTTGTAAATGTACAAGGCACATCCTATAAAATACTAATAGACAATAGCAGTACTCACTACACATTAGCACTAGCAGCAGGTTTTAGGTGAAACGTTGTAATATATTAATCATTTGTTCGTAAGTCAGATGTTTAAGTTAAGATTGAGGAACTCACAGGGATTAAATTATTTAAAGGGACATAATGATCACGGCCTTAGGTTGTATGTGATATTTTCTTTTTATCAGACAAGCAGATGGTGAGAGATGAAGGATATTTTTAGCTCTGGTAATTGTATCACTTTGCTGCTCCCTATAAACAAGGGCTGGGGCCATAAATCAACTGTGTGATTCAATATATATCACGATACCTTGCTCTCGATACGATATGCATCACGTTACTTGCGCGTGTTCTTATCTGTGGTGTGTAAGCCATCTCTTTCACATACAGGATGGCAAAAGACCTTGCACACTAACAATTTACTGTTGGCAGTGTCAAATATAGCACAATGGATGAAAATATGTACGGGTTCACTACTTATTTTCACTTGCAATTAGTGTTTGGTGTAACATTTATTAAGAATACATTTAAGATAAGAATCGACACTTTTTACTTAGTGTGCGATTGTGATTGATACTTGTATCGAAAAGTAAAAAAACGCGATCCAGCGATGCATCGTCCCACCACTACTATAAACCATTTTCATTTTGACTATTTGTAGTGAAAAGTCAAAACCAAAATAATTTACAGGGGGCAGCAAAGAGATATGGTTACCACAGCTCGGAGATGTTTACCACTGCTGTAAGATTGACGTAATTCACCTGGGCTATGATCTGGTATGTAAGATTGATGTAATTCACCTGGGCTATGATCTGGTGTGTAAGATTGATTCAATTCACCTGGGCTATGATCTGGAACAGGATCAATATGGGTGTCATCTCTAGGGAACATACACAAGATACAGCATCTCCATGTCTGAAGTCAGTACTTCATAACTGACTACATAACAACATGTGTATCTCAGGACACAGCTTCATCATTGGTAAGAATCTTGGAGTCAAACCTATGACCAGTAGTTTTCTTTCCAAAAGGAATTCTAGCACTGCCTGCTGAAGTAATTGCAGCATTCTAGTTTGTTTGTTTGTTTGTTATTTGACGCTGCACTCAGCAATATTCCAGCTATATGACGGTGGTCTGTAAGTAATCGAGTCTGGACCAGATAATCCAGTGATTGACATCATGAGCATCGATCCACCCAATTGGGATATGATGACATGCACTAACCAAGTCAGCGAGCTTGACCACCCGATCCTGTTAGTCGCCTCTTATGACAAGCATTGTCGCTTTTTATGGCAAGCATGGGTTGCTGAAGACCCCGGGTCTTCACTGGTCTGCAGCATTCTATAGTATCATGGTACACTAAGGTTGAGGAGTTACAAGATGGAGGAGTGACCTCTCACTGCTATATATACAACACTGACTAACAGTTTTACTGCTAACATCTTACAATGGAAAAGCACTGAACATTTGAGAACTTGTGGTTCAGTAAAATGTTTCAAGGATGTCTACTGGTATGGTTTTACATTCACCATGCAACTCTGTGGTGAATCGGGAGTTTTTTACATCATTTCCTAAATCAAGCTATCACTGATATGAAGCAGTGCATCATCAATGGTCCATCATAGATATATATAAAATATATGGATAAAAAGGGAATTAATTCCGACATGTCACATATTTCTTACGGCAAAAGTGATGGGAGCTGTACCTCAACTTTCCTTAAACTATGACATCATTGCATTCCAACCTAGCCTGATGTATCACAGTGTATGATGACATCAATGGAATTCACGTTAGAATTGAGAGCAATACAGATGAAATTCGTTGCGTCGAACTTGTTGGGGACCTTGAAAAAAGTCTGTGTTATCCGGGGTTGGAGGCATCAGGAAAATGTCAAGTTTATTTAGATACTTGGAACTCCCAAATGAGCTCCAGACAACTTGGAATTGGACACACCCAAGTTTAACACTAACAAACATGTATACATATCAAGTATACAATCTCCAAACAGTGAACATAAATTGAGGTTAAATAAGTTAAATACTATTATATGCTCTTTCATGCAAAACTGTGAATGATTTCCCTGTAGCCCCCTAAAGTAAAGTGGGAGTTTGGTGTGATTGTCAACAAGGGCGTCGACCACAATAAAATACACATTATATAATAGAAATACATATCTTGGAAAAAGTCACATCCTCTTAATACAGACCACCAGACATCCTTAATAAAAAAAATTGAATCATCCCTTAAGCTTCATCCCAACATTGCAACACTTGTCTCCATATTGTAAGCAAATGGTCATGTATGAGTGAGTGAGTGAGTATGGTTTTACGCCGCTTTTAGCAATATTCCAGCAATATCACGGCGGGGAACACCAGAAATGGGCTTCACACATTGTACCCATGTTCATGTATGAGTGAGGGAGTTGGGTTTAACACCACTTTGCACAGTATTTACATTATATCATGGTATGTCCGTTTGATGTGAGAGAAAAGCCCAAAGTGATGCAGGTCTCAGAGGGTTACCACTTTCATGAAAGTCTCGAGCAAACAAACCTAGAAACATAATCAGGGTGAATGGGATTCAAACTCATGATCAGAGGTTTCTGCCATGCCTAAGGGGCACAACTCTGAGCGACTTGGTGACCTATGTCCCCTGTTCAAATATGAGAGTAATAATGCACCAACATTACCTTGTGGAAGCTGTCTCTGATAAGTGTCCCATTGAACAAAGTCATTATATCCTATATAAGGTGGACCGTCTTCCATGGCCTAATATGCAAAAAGGTTCAGTTCACAATACAGTGTAACACACACAAACATTGTCCTAATGGTATGTTCCCCAATGACTGTCTTCAGAAGACTATATATACTCATATTAGACCTGCACATTATCACATGTTAAGAGGGACAATACAAGGTGTTTCTTTTTCAGCCTTGGAGTAGAGCCAGTGAAGATCCAGGTTAGAATTGGTCTCCAGCAACCCATACTTGTCATAAGAGGTGACTAATGGTCAAGTTTGCTGACTTGGTTGATGAATGTCATTGTGTCCAAAATGCGGTAGATCGATGCTCATGACGTCACTCACTTGATTGTATGGTCCGGACTCAATTATTTACGGTCCAAGATGATATAACTGGAATATTGCCGAGTGCAGTGTTAAACAACAAACAATCAGTCCAGAACTCGACATTATAATCAGTGCCTTGTGTGAAACTGTCATGCTGTGTAATGACGTAGTAATCAAGTTGCTGGGGCTGCCATTATGCTGGAACCTAGTTGTTCTTTAATCCTTGAGTTGGTGTTGAATGCAATGGTATAAATAACTTGGCAACAAAAACAAATATCTTTGTCTATAATTGTGACTGATTGGAATGGGGAGTGGTCCTCTGCTAAGCTGTTGTTGGGACCATCTCTTGTTCTTCAGGGAGTTGCATCTATCGTTCCCCCAGGGAGGGTCAATCACTTGATTGTATGGTCCAGACTCATTTATTTACAAATATCTTTGTCTATAATTGTGACTGATCGGAATGGGGAGTGGTCCTCTGTAAAGCTGTTGTTGGGACCATCTCTTGTTCTTCAGAGAGTTGTATCTATCGTTCCCCCAGGGAGGGCCATCTTGCTTGCACTCCCACCGCCTGGCCAGAGGAAAACATGCATTACTAAATGGAAAGTAAGACAATGAGCTTGATGAAACCAAGTCCCTAAGACTTGATGGCAAACAGTATTGAATTTTATACAATGCAATGATTTGACAATGTAACAGTCAGGCAAACAATGTTACTTTGTTACCATGGTTACCAACCCATGCAAACTATGCGGAGACAATTTTACTTTTTGGATCGCGGATGCTCAATTTGACATTCATTCTTTGCCAACTCAATCAGTTGTTGCCAATTCTGTGCACAATACAGTTCTTGATGCCAAAATACATAAAAATCCTGGCTCTCTTAATATCAAATGACCTGAGAAACTTATTTTGTTTATGATTGGCACAGCTATGAGTAGAAATGTTAATTTTTCAGGTCACAAGATGAGATAAACCTGTTGCTGGACAAGCAATCTCATTAAAATCAGATCCTAGTGCTCGCTACAATGACAAAAAGATCTGAGTGAGTGAGTGAGTTTGGTTTTATGCCACTTTTAGCAATATTCCAGCAATATCACGGCGGGGGACACCAGAAATGGCCTTCACACATTGTACCCATGTCGGGATTCGAACCCGGGTCTTCGGCGTGACGAGCAAACGCTTTAACCACTAGGCTACCCGACCGCCCCACAAAGATCTGAGGACATCCCATTACAGGTCACATTAGAATGGCCTTTCGCAAACTTTGCCCAACCAATGAAATAAGTAACAGGAAGTCGATACTAACCAAGCAGAAAGCAGCTTTCGTGAGATTTAAGGCATTTCTTTTTTCAAAATGGTGACTACCATACGCTTTGAAAAGTATTTTGACAAAGTTCTCAAATCCAAATTGAAAAGAAAATTCTGGAAAAGATGGCCGATATTGTATGGCAGTACTTCCCACAGACTATGGAATGTTCAAATGTTTATCCCATTGAAGCCAAGACATGAACAGCTTGTAACTATCATACCCAATGCATAATGTTAACCATTTCGAGACTGCATGATTAGAAAACACATTCAGAATTTCACTTTCATGATCTGGTAGCAGGCACTAAGATCTGATTTTAAAAAGATTGCTGGACAAGAACAGCGACATGTTCTATCCATGATATATGTCCTATTCTAAATCAAAGTGTCAATCACATAGTCTGAAATTAGTAACAGCACAAAATGTTATTTCACTCATATAAAATATTGATTGTATATATTCAGATAAATATAATATTTCCTCACTAAATAAATAATTAACTACCTTCGTCCTCCAAGAATAGCAGACAATTTGAATACTTTTTGAGTTCGAGTGAGTGAGTGAGTGAGTTGGGTTTAACGCCGCTTTTAACATTATTCCAGTTATATCACGGCGTGTCAGCTTAATGTGGGAGGAAAGCCTGAAATGATGCAGGTCTCAGACGTTTACCACTTCGGTGAAACCCATGAGCACGGGTATGGTGCGGACAAACCTAGAAACATAAAAGGGGCGAACCGGGATTCGAACCCACAATTATAGGTTTCTGGCGTGTCCAAGGCATGCAACTCTGCACAGCGAATCGCGACACCTTAGACATCTGGCCCATCTGTGCCCCCTTTTGAGTTCGAAAATCAAAGGTTAAGGACAAAAAAATCTGTGATGTCACAAATAAACAATGAGGCCTATGTCCACTGTAAGCTACAGGGTGGAGACAGCAGGTGCCCCCTCTACTGTGTGACCTTTACCTTGAGGAAGAAGGCCAGAACAGCCCCACAGAGGACTAGGGGGAAGAAGGACATGATTCCGGTTCTCTTGACAGACTTCTTAGTCAACCACTTGATGATGCCAAACTTCTTCTCTGTGTATGGGGGATACCGAAGTCTGAAACAACAGAAAGCTTTATATTGAATATTTGTGATGTGCAATAATGGGTGGCCCTGTCCCCTGAGGCACCGCAATTTGCTGTGCAGAGTTGCTTCCCTTGGGCGTGGATACAAATCCCGGTTAGCCCTGATTGTTTCTAGGTTCTTCATCACCGTCATCATAACTGACTATAAAAGTCCAGTTTCCACGCTTGTTGAACTAGGCTGGTATTATGGAGTTCCTTTTATGGCTGGACTAACGAGTCTATGCATTGACCAATAAAAATCACACAATGAAATTGAAATCCGGTTCGTAAACTGTCGTGCAGATTTCGGTCGATTGCAGGATTTGCAATGCATGTGCACCGCCAACTCGTTGTCAATATATGTCAGATATTTTCCAAATCTTTTTATGCTTTTAATCAAGGTGGTCATGTCATTTTATGCACTTCGCGATGTAAGACGCGTTTTATCACAAAATAGATTTTGATTATCGATCAGATCGTCTTGACTGGGCGCCGCCATTTTGTTTGAAGCAAATGCAAGTGATACGAGAGGTGGAATCTGATTGGCCCATAGGAGAGGCTTAGAAGGGACATAACTTGTAATAACCACTGGTGGCGCTACGATCGAGCACAGGAATTCCAGCCTAGTTCAGCAAGGGTGGAAACCGGACTTTTAAAGTAAGTTAACTCTCTTGCCTTGGGAAGATGCACCATGCCCATGCTCGTGGTTTTCCTCCCATATCAAGCTTGAATACTGTTCAAAGCGTCATTAAACCCAACTCACTCACTCACTCCATGAGGCATGCTCACAGTGCTACAATGTATGAACATTATAAACAAAGGAAGAATGGACAGATGACGATGTGTATTGATGAGAAAAATGGACAGTGTTGAAACTACGATGAGTAAGAAATCAGGAATAGATGAGTCCTGAGCATGGATCTGAAGGAGTCCAGGGATGGATCATTCCCTTATAGTGAGTAAGTGAGTGAGTGAGTATGGTTTAACGCCACTTTTAGCAATATTCCAGCGATATCACAGCGGGGGACACCTTAAATGGGCTTCACACATTGTACCCATGTCAGGAATCGAACCCGGGTCTTCGGCGTGATGAGCACACGTTTTAACCACTAGGCTACCCGACCCCCCTCATTCCCTTAGAGAGATGGTAGTCTGTTCCACAATGTGGAAACAACATTAAAAGATCTTTGACCGAACTGGTTCAGCTTTGCACAAGAGACAGACAAAATATTCTGGTTTACAGATCAGAGGCTGTGGACAGGTTTGTAAGTAGAGAGTAGTTCAGTATCGTATGGTGGTGGAAGAACATACTGAATTTATCTTAAACTGCATCCTGGCATCTGTTATCAGACATTTTGTACATACTGTTATTGTACATAGAGATTATCATAAGAGTCATACTGATTGTATGAAATGAGTGTCAGAATTCTTGTATTTCTAGAGCAAGAGAAAGGGTAATACAGTCAAGTTCCGTTAATCCGACATGGTTGGTTGCATGTGATTATGTCGGATTAACTAGTATGTCGGATAAACCAAATTAAGGAGTATCAACGTTTGTGATAAAAAATTTACAACTACATGATAGAAACGATACAAACATGTAATAAAAAAATGAAATATTCATGTTGTTATGTTACATTGTTAGCAGAATATGTTTTGTTAAGCAAGTTTATCTCTGCAGCCGTTGTAATATGCAGCCACCAGCCGACTCGTCTCTCATCAAAACACGGGCTGTGTGCTCGCGGGCAGATCACTGTGTCGGATTAACGAGACTGATTAATGTGTGATTTCGGTAATTAGTTGCAAATTAGGTGTGTCGGAGTTGGAGTGCGAGACTGTCAGATTAACAGGTCTAAATAGCAATGATTTAATTGGTTTCCATCATTAATGTCAGATAAAGCTGATTGTTGGATTAACGAGTGTCGGATTAACAAGACTTGACTGTACATGAATTCTGACACTTGTTTCATAAAATCAGTATGACACATATATGCGAGAGCAATAATTTCTTATTTTTTAAACCTTGTGAGCACTCCTTTAGAAAAACACACAGATCACGACTGCCATCTTTGAAAACAACAATTGTCAAATGACGTCAAGATTCTTCAGCAATGACGTTGTTACTAGTGTGACGTCATTCCCACCTTATGTCACAATATGATACAAATGACGTCAAATGGTGCGCAAGAAGTGATATTAGCACAAGTGCACATACGATTTTTATGAACTCGGTGGGTCATGAATACAGATATTTACCACATATTCAACTAAATTTGCTATATATGAATTTATAAAAAAGATAATCCCTCTTACATTTGTGAAGACTTATTGGCTTAGAGAGCTTAACTGGCATATCCCCATGGGTGTATCTTGACATCAACCACCTGTGATAATAATAAAGACATACGCATTGACAGACTCCATTTTAAGATCTCTCTGCATCACGGATCTCCTGTGGCTGAAGGTATCGTAGGAGAACTTGCCGTGGTATGCCCCCATCCCACTGTGGCCTACACCTCCGAACGGCATCGAGGGCACTGTAACAGAACACAGGCAACATATTATAATGTCTCGTCTGGTCACCCTATGCGACAAGCAAGAAGAAAATAGTATGTTTTTGTTTGTTTGTTGTTTAACGCCACACTCAGCAATATTTCATCTAGTGAGTGAGTGAGTTGGGTTTTACGCCGCTTTTAACATTATTCCAGTTATATCACGGCGTGTCAGCTTAATGTGGGAGGAAAGCCCGAAGTGATGCAGGTCTCAGACGTTTACCGCTTCGGAGAAACCCAAGAGCACTGGTATGGTGCTGACAAACCTAGAAACGGGGCGGACCGGGATTCGAACCCACAATCATAGGTTTCTGGCGTGCCCAAGGGACGCAACTCTGCACAGCGAATCGCGGCGCCTTAGACGACTAGGCCACCCGGGCCACCCGTGCCCCCTCAATATTTCATCTATATGACAGCGGTTGTCGGGCAGTTAATGGAAGACCTCTGGCTTCTGCAAATGATAATGCCCTGAAAAATAGCGTTACCCTTATAATATGACACTGGTTTGTTTTTTTGTTGTTTAAAGCCACACTCAGCAATATTCCAGCTATATGACAGCGGTCTGTAAAGAATCTAGTCGGAATAACACAATCCAGTGATTGACATCATGAGCATCAATCCCCATAATTAGGATCTGATGACATGCATCACGCAAGTCACCAAGCCTGACCATCCGATCCATTTAGTCGCCACTTACGACAATCATAGGCTGCTGGGGACCTATATTCTCACCTTGAAAGCCCATTGTCTGTCAGGTAAAGAAATAACAAGGTCCTCAGGGATGCAACAGAAAGCTGGTAATAATCTCTCTCTCTAATTGAGAGGACCAGACAATCCAGTGATTGACATCATTAGCATCGTTCCACTCAATTGACAATTTAGATGTATACTTACTGGATGCATGCATGATGCAGTCGTTGATGCACATGCCGCCACTACTGGTGTTGTTGACGAAGTTGTCAATGATGCGCTGGTTTCTGGAGAAGACGTACATGGCAAGTGGCTTCTCTCGGTCGTTGATGAAGTCGACAGCTTCTTTGTCATCTCTCACAACATAAAACGGCAGGATAGGTCCAAATATCTGTGAAAGAGATCATTTAATTCTGAAGCATAGTAAATACATTAATCAACATAGCTGTATTAAAGTAGCAAGTGACTGTTGTTGAACTATTCAAGGTGAGGTGAGGTGAGGTGAGGTGAAATTGGGTTTAACGTCGCTTCCAAGATTATTGCACTTATATAGCGACGTGCACGTGCGTAAATACCCCACTCAGACACAGTATACTGACTCCGAGCCGACCTGTCCTTGCTTTAACCCCTTAATGCCGAGCGCCAGACAGGGTAACAACAACTACCATCTTTTAACGTCTTTTTGTATGACGCGGCCGGGGATCGAACCCCGGACCTTCCGCTCTCCAGGCGGACGCTCTACCACTAGACCACGGAGACGGTCTGAACAATTCAAGCTCAGGGGGCCTTATTTGGTCCCAAGTCTGCAGTAGATGTCAGCAACAAATATTCCAAAATGGGAAATACAAAGTTCCCAACTAACGTCAATATAGTTAAGGATAACATTATGGCTTGGTCGAGGTGACTGAAAACAGTGAGTGAGTATGGTTTTACGTCGCTGTTAACAATATCACAGGAACACAAGAAATATGCTTCACACATTGTACCCATGTGGAGATTCGAACTTGGGTCTTTCGGCGTGACGAGCCAAACTTAGACCACTAGGCTACCCCCACGTTTTTTAAAGGCACACAGCCATGAATTTCTCTAGGTAAAAGACTGAAAATTATTTGTAATATGTGAAAAAATGTCTTCTGAAACAAGCTTGTGAACTATAAGAGAAAAATAGTGCATATTATATAAACAGCATAAATAATCATAATTAGTTTTGTTATTATTCACTTAAACTTCCATATAATGTTTGTGCTGCAATGCAGTGTTACTAACCTCATCCTGCATGACGGCATCGCTTAGCTTACAGTCCCGGACGATAGTAGGGGAGATATATCTCTCCTCTTCCCTGGTGACACCCCCCACAGCTACCTTCACCCCCGTCAACAGCTTCTCCACACGTCTGTAATACACAAGACACACAGAATTACACTCATCTCTATACTATAATAATGATTCAATCATGAATTATGTACTAAAGGGAGGTAACTCACCACAAGTCCAAAAACAGTTTAAATAACTGGGCACAAACAGGTCTTCTCTTGGCTGACATAGCCCTTACAGTAACCTATAGCACCAACTCTCTCACTAGTTGACCTCAAATTGTCAAAAGCTCCCCTTAACCTCAAATATGACACTGTTTTTTTTGTTTAACGCCGCACTCAACAATATTCCAGCTTTTTGACGGTGGTCTGTAAATAATCGAGTCTGGACCAGACATTCCAGTGTTTGACATGATGAGCATCAATCCACGCAATTGGGATCGATGACATGCATCAACCAAGTCAGCGAGCCTGACCACCTGATCCCATTAGTCGCCTCTTACGACAAGCATAGTCGCCTTTTACGGCAAGCATGGGTTGCGGAAGACCTATTCTACCCCGGATCTTTACAGGTCAAATATGACACTGGATGAGACTTGGCATTTAACATGAGCATAGCATTTCTGACCACACTGGGAGACGATGCTCCACAGTCTGGGGCAAGGGACAAGGTAGGATGAGAGTTCTTTTGTTACCACAGGATCTGCATCTTTTAAGAATTGAGCAAAATATTTAGAAATTATTATGAAAGGAATCAGATTTGTTCATATGAATAAGAGATAGACTTCGTTCGTTTCAACAAATGCATGTTTTGGATTTACGACCACACAAAATGCATAGGTAAGGATAAGGTGTCCAAAAGACTTATTTTAGAGATTTGGGGGGATGTGTTTTTCTAATACTTGAACATGAAAAAGTCTTTGACCACCCTGACTTTTACTGGAGATGTAGGTTGAAACAGTACAAACATAGATAAAAAATGCGTCAAGGTCACAGACTTGCTCATACTTGAGATTTTTATTTGAAGTGAACAAAATAAAATTAATTCACAAATTTCAGCCATACTTATCATGTATGAAGTAAAAAACTTGAAGTGTAAGAAAGAGGTGATGTTAAATGGGGTTTAATGTTAAGATTATTGCACATATATAGCAAAGTGCGTGTGTGCTTGTACTAGTCCAGACTAATGCCGATTTCATAGTGCCAGCCCACTGAGATACCATGCCACAGTTTAACATGAATACCCCACTCAGACACAGTATACTGACTCCGAGACGACTAGTCATTGATTTAGCCCCTAAATGCCAAGTGCCAGGCAGGGTAACAACAAATACCATTTCTTGAAGTCTTTCATTATGATGGTTTGGTTGGTTGGTTTGTTTTTTGACGCCGCACTCAGCAATATTCCAGCTATATGACGGCGGTCTGTAAAATAATCGAGTCTGGACCAGACAATCCAGTGATTGACATCATGAGCATCGATCCACGCAATTGGGATCGATGACATGTATCAACCAAGTCAGCGAGCCTGACCACCCGATCCCGTTAGTCGTCTTTTACGATAAGCATAGTCGCCTTTTACGGCAAGTATGGGTTGCTGAAGACCTATTCTACCCCGGAATCTTCACGGGTCTCGTTATGATGGGGTGGGGGATCAAACACCCAGACCTTCCACTCTCTGGGCAGATTCTCTACCACTAAACCATGGAGACGGGTTTGGAAGAAAGGAAAAAGGTTAGGTGTCAACCATTTGAACATGTCTGATAATTTTGTACCAATATTTCCATGTTTCCCACAACTTCCGCGGCTGGGGATCAAACTACAGACTTTCCACATTTCAGTAAGTTTCTGTATCTGCAGATAATATAAGCATGGCTCCAACAACTCTTGACAATATGGCTGCTACAGTAAAACACTGAACTCACTTGAAGTGTCGGCCATTCACAATGCGACCAAAGCTCTCGGACTGCTCTGGTTTATCAGTGAAGAAGTCGATCAACACTTTCCTTATTTCCTCAATAAGCGGGTCCTTGAACAGAGAGAATGTAAGACATAAACAAAACACAGTGTGTGAGGCAGCCTCCTAACTTTTGAAAATACATTCCAGCTGTACATCTTGATAGTTCAAAGAAAGAGAACAAGAAAATGACAGCAAACTTTAAAAGAAATATCCAACTGACTATTAACTAAAACGTGTAAAAGTCACTTCAGGAACAAATTCAATTGTCAAATTTAAGTATAAAAACCCCCAGCAAAAGCTAAATATGTCATTGGTTGTCTTTTTGATATTAAACCAAAAATATTTACCTTAAACATGTCAAAGTCATTTCTTGTTCATGAACAAATTCATCATAAACTTCAAGGAAAAAAAGAACCAGTAAAATCTAATTCTGTCATTTGTTGTCTTTTTGAAACTAATTAATATTAGAATATTATTTTGGTGGAAAAAACAGAGTTGAAAGATAAATTTTGTGGTTTATGCTGATGGCCTGAACTGTTTATATGCGACAGATATATTTTTCCAGAATTTAATTGCCCATAATTAAGGGTGCATATAACACACGAGTGCGTATTATACATGAATAAATAAGTCTTGTGTACATTGATAAATCGGAAGGGGTGCTAATTGGGATTGTTCACTTGCCAATATATTAGCAAATATCGCCGTGGGTGCTTATTACGTCAAATACAGTATTTGGAATAACAATCGTACTGTACATTTCCATGGCAAGCATATACATATTTATCTTCCTAAGATATGATCCTTTATCGTACAATGGCATTCTCTAATGATCTTTTCATTCAATAAAGTAACGTCCATAGGAATACAATACAACCGCCCAATTTGTTACATAGTGTCAAGTTAATGCAGCCCTGTTTGTTTGCATGAGGTAAGATGATCAAAACTCCCATACTTTAACATAGGCTTACGATAGTCTTAGCGCTAAGATCGCTTTGTGCAGCTGGGCCCAGGATCTTTTGGGATACGATGACATGCATCAGTAAATTAATAGCGTGTATCACGCCGCTGTATAGAGATTACTAAAAGTACCTCCTGCTATATGATCTCATTTGCATATTTATTGGACTGTAATATCAAGATTTTTGGATTAGGTTAGTTATCAAATTTATCACACTATCCTTTATGTGATAAATATACAGTGAGCACCTACTACAATAGATACTTACATGCTACTCAAGTAACACCAGACATGACAGATGAACTAAATCGTGTGTTCCTTAATTTCTTTTGAGCAGTACATTTTGTACAGCTGTTTGTGAGCTACTATACCTGGACATCTGATTGGCACATGACGTAGTCAGGAGCTATACATGTCTGTCCCGCGTTGAGAAACTTCCCCCAGACAAGTCTCCTAGCAACTGTTGTCAGGTCACAGTTCCGGTCAACATACACAGGGCTGAAACAAACGGCCATCTTGAAGGACTGGAGTCATCAAACACATATCATTACTCAACCATTTGTTAAAACATCCCACGAACATGAATTTCAGGAAAGAACACAGAAATGATTTCATCTTGCCAATCAATTTCACTTCACCTTTTCCATCCTCATCAAATGAGAGTACGCTATTTGCCCCGGAGGACATTTTGGCAGCGTGATGTGTGACCTTTTGTCAGTATGAATCCTCTTGAATCCCGTCTAACATGGGCCAGTTGTACAATGTTTTGTTTGTTTGTTTGTGGTTTAATGCCGCACTCAGCGATATTCCTGCTATATGACAATGATCTGTAAATAATCCATTCTGAACCAGACAATCCAGTGATTGACATGATGAGCATCCATCTACACAATTGGGATACAAGGACATACGTCAGCCAAGTCAGCCAGCCTGACCACCTGATCCCGTTAGTCGCCTCTTACGACACGAAGTTTTACGGCAAGCGCCATGGTTCTACCCCGTATCTTCACAGCTTCAACTTCGTGGTAAGTTCGGGTTAGAATAGGCCCCAGCAGCATATGCTGACTGTTAGAGGCGACTAAATGGATGGGGTGGTCAGTCTCGGCGACTTGCGTGTCATCGTACCCACGGGTTTTACCTATGACTTAGAAGAGTGGGGGACCATTCATTTTAAGGGTCCAGGCAGGCAGTATGAGGGTCCAGTAAAATAATGATCTCTGTGAACCTGGATCTTCACGGGTATGATAATGTTGGCTTACTAGTACACCAGGAACAAGGGGGGGGGGGAAACAACAACCCAGCCTAGGGATATCCGGACCTGGGGTCACAGCGACCCAGTCATCCCTGGGATCTACCTGTACTGGGGTCACAGCAACCCGGACTAACCCGTGGTGTGAATGTGGCTGCTCCCTATGTGTTGTGTGTGTGGGGGGGAAAACCCGCCCAGAAAGTTGGTGAGAAAGCCGGAATAGCAACAGCCCCTAGTGGTGGCAGGGGATGGATGGAGGTAGCATGAGACAAAGGCTTCGAAATGGCGACACAGCATAAACGGAAAGGGTTAAAGGAAGGATACCTGAGCACGCGCCGGTTATGTAAACAGAAGGATGTTGGGAAATGATATTTATACTAATAGAAATATTGCTAATAAAACAATGAAACAGCCTTATTTAGATGTACAAGAAAAAAAGGGTAAGATTTTAACACTTAAAGAAATAAGTTATGAGTAGGAATTTCTCGGTAAGAGAATACAAAACCAACTGGTTAAAAACCGGAATTTGGATATGATGTGAATTACGAGCGACGAGGTTGATGGAGGGAATTAATATGAATGAATATTTAAAGTGTTTTGGAAGAGATACGTAATGAGAAGATGAATCAATATTATGGTGAAAGGTGAGGTAAATTTGATGAAGAAGATATGGAGTAGAAATTTAAAATGAATGCTTGATAATTGAAAAATGCGAGGTGTACGTGACAAGGAATAAGTTTAAAATATACATGGATGCTAAAATGTGAAAATTGGGTAACATAATGATGAAGGGACCTGTATCGCTACACAAACTATGATATTAAATTAACAATATCACGGCGGGGGACACCAGAAATGGGCTTCACACATTGTACCCATGTCGGGAATCGAACCTGGGTCTTCGGCGTGACGAGCGCACTCTTTAACCACTAGGCTCCCCGGCCCCCTGAGTAGTTGTAAGTAGTTCTTAGTGGTATTTAACAAATCTAAGTTAAACGTGGTACAAACACCTGTTGTTTTCAAGATGAATGGTCCTACCTTTTACCTCCCAGTTCCAGCGTGACGGGCGTTAGGTTCTTAGCAGCGGCAGCCATCACTATCTTAGCAACGACGTTGTTGCCGGTGTAGAAGATGTAGTCAAACCTCTCCTGCAGCAGGCCTGTTGTCTCGGGGATGCCACCGTTGATGACTTTCACACACTCCTACATTAGATATAGCAGTCAGGTGAGAGAGAGATTTTGCAATTTTCGTGAACGTTATTAATGTTAGGATATGGGCTTTCATGATTTGAGCTTACTAGACATGCTAGACAAAACGAAAGTTACTCGACTTTGACTTTGGGTAAAGTATTCTAGACATTTCACGGTGACCTACACCAAGAATGGTTTCACACATTGTACACGTAGGGAATCGAACCTGATCATTTCCCACGAGCATGGGAACTCGTGAAGATCACGGTTAGAATAGGTCTTCAGCAATCCATTTTTGCCGTAAGAGGTGTCTATGCTTGTTGTAAGAGGTGGCTAAAGGGATCACGTGGTGAGACTGGTCCAGACTCGATAATTAATAGACCTCTGTCACATAGCTGGAATATTGCTGAACAAACAAACCATGAGCATGGGTAGAAAATGCTATTTGTTACCTTGGCACTCAGATCATATTTTGTTGACACACTGATATTTTAGGAAGACTACGTAATAAGGATATGGAAGGACCAGCAAATATAGTAATGTCAAGTATTGTGCTGACAGTTCATATGATTAGTTTGTTTGTTGCTTTATCAATATTCCAGCTATATGACAGCGGTCTGTAAATAATTATATCTGAACCAGAAATCCAGTGATTGACATCATGAGCATTGATCTATGCAATTGGGATAGGATGACATGCATCAACAAAGTCAGCAAGCCTGACCACTCGATCCCGTTAGTCGCCTCTTACGACAAGCATGGGTTGCTGAAGACCTATTCTGACCCTGATTACAGTCCATATGAACACTGACTGTCCATGCCATCCATGTATATTGTAGTTCAGGAATGTCCTGCCACTTTGTGGCAGATTGTTGTAAATAGCGAGATACTGAGACTTACATTATCAAAGTACTTTGGCACAATCTCTTCCAGCAAGATGGCCGTCTGCTCGGACATTTCTGAAGGTTTGACAATCACACAATTTCCTGAAAAACACACACGCTTGGTTACCATGGTTACAGAAGCTGAAAAACAATAACACCTTTATCTAGTTGATGAGGATCTTCCCTTAAATGGTTTCCGCATTTACTGCACAGCTTCAAATATTAATAAAACAATCTGTTTATATTTATATTGGCCCACAGTTATCTTTTAACAAAATCGGAAAATGGCCAACACATGACCAAGGATTAAAATGACATATTTACATCATAACATCTATTTGCTCACACTGTCAGCCATTGGTACATGTGTTGTAGACAGTCGAGGCCAGACTGGGTGGAGCTACCTTGATTTGATAAACCTACCGATTTCTGTTGTTAGGAGTGTGTGTGAGTGAGTTTGGTTTTACGCCGCTTTTAGCAATATTCCAGCAATATCACAGCGGGGAAAACGAGAAATGGGCTTCACACATTGTACCCATGTCGGGAATCGAACCCGGGTCTTCGGCGTGACGAGCGAAAGCTTTAACCACTAGGCTACCTGACCGCCCCTTATTGTTAGGAACTGCCACTTCCTGTGGCTTCACCCACTGTGGGTACTCACCTGCAGCTATGGCGGCTATCATGGGCAGGAGGGTCAGTTGGACGGGGTAGTTCCACGCTCCGAGAACCAGCACCAGGCCGTAGGGTTCTCGCTTGATGTAACACTTGTCCATGATGTTCATTAGCTCCTTCTTCACCTGGGACAGAGAGGTCAAGGTCAATGTGAAGTCTGCCTCCAGTCAACAGACAAATAGGTTAGAATAATATGCACTTGAGTAGGTATTGGTTTATAGCAATATCCTGGCCGAAGATTATTGCACTTATATAGCGACGTGCATACACATGTGTGTGTGTGTGTGTGTGTGTGTGTGTGTGTGTGTGTGTGTGTGTGTGTGTGTGTGTGTGTGTGTGTGTGTGTGTGTGTGTGTGTGTGTGTGTGTGTGTGTGTGTGTGTGTGTGTGTGTGTGTGTGTCTGTGTGTGTCTGTGTGCTTGTACTAGTCCGGACTGATGCCGATTTATAGTGCTAGCACACTGAAATACCAGGCCGCAGTTTAACATGAATACCCCACTCAGACGCACTCAGACTCCGAGCCGACCAGTCCTTGTTTTAGCCTCTTAATGCTGAGTGCCAGGTAGGGTAACAACAAGTACCATCTTTTAACGTCTTTTGATATGACAGGGGATCAAACCCCGGACCTCCCGCTCTACCACTAGACCACGGAGGCGCTCGCTCCTGGCCAAGAACACACATTATGAACTTCACACAGTGTTTCCAAGTGGGAGTCTTTGGTGTGACATGCAATTAGGCAACTCTACTGACACACATCCAAATTACTGAGGTCCAAAAATACAGGATTAGAAATAAGCACTAGCCTGAGAAAGCTTTTTATAGGTTAAAGGCAGTCTAACGTATCTATCACTATTTAATAGTCTAATAGACTATCAAGATTAATTTGCATACATGTCATACCACTGTCAACAGTTTGCAATTATTATTTTTTATGTTGATAAAAAGAAGTACCTGTTACATGAAATGGGCTTCCATCCAGGGTAGCAGAAAGCCCATGACATACATGTATAGCACAACTTCTCAGTTAGACTTTTTTACAGATATAAGATACTTCTCACTCGCACATTCACTCTAGTAATACAAACATACTGCATATATCAAGTATTCATAAACTATTAAAGTTAATAGATCATATTGCAGTGTGGGAAAGTACATGGTCTCAAACATTAAAGTCTTAAGTATAAAACTAAAATTAAAATGAAAGCTGCTCCTCATTTTCCAAAAGTTGATGATACAGCATCCAAGCTCTATAGAATTTCTGCTGATTACCTGTCTTGAAAGCAATATCTTTTTCAATGTTGTATCGTGAAAAAGCTTCCTTTTTATAAACATGAAAATATGGTTTTGTATTTTGGAATTAGTTTGCAATTTTTACTTAAAATAATCTTTGCTTGTTGCAGTAAAACTGACCTTCTCTGGTTTCATCCAGTCTTTGAGATTGTTCATGGACAGGATCAGCTCATTACGGCACAGGTTGAACTCCATGATCATAGATTCTATCTTGTTCTTGAAAGGAAGATACACAGCATCAAAACCAGTATTGAATAGCAGTGGACACGTGTTGTAGTTGATGTGTGGATATGACAGACAATGTCCTGTTTGGATATTACTGCTGAAGTAACTGTGAGAGATGACACATATGAAGTCAACTTGAGGTGAGTGAGTGAGTGAGTGAGTGAGTGAGTGGGAAAGTTGGTGGCAGAGTGATTTAGCGAATGAGTAAGTGGGTGGGGGAGTTAGTGAAAAAATGAATTGAGTTAAAATGGGAGAGTTAGTGAATGTGAGAGTGGGAGAGTTGGTTGCAAAGTGATTTAGCGAGTGAGTAAGTGTGTGGGTGGGGGAGTGAGTGAGTGGAAGAGTTAGTGAATGAGTGAGAGTGGGAGAGTTAGCGAATAAATGAATGAGTGAGAGTGGAAGAGTTAGTGAATGAGTGAGAGTGGGAGAGTTAGTGAATGAGTGAGAGTGGAAGAGTTAGTGAATGAGTGAGAGTGGAAGAGTTAGTGAAAAAATGAATTGAGTTAAAATGGGAGAGTTAGTGAATGTGAGAGTGGGAGAGTTGGTTGCAAAGTGATTTAGCGAGTGAGTAAGTGTGTGGGTGGGGGAGTGAGTGAGTGGAAGAGTTAGTGAATGAGTGAGAGTGGGAGAGTTAGTGAATAAATGAATGAGTGAGAGTGGAAGAGTTAGTGAATGAGTGAGAGTGGGAGAGTTAGTGAATGAGTGAGAGTGGAAGAGTTAGTGAATGAGTGAGAGTGGAAGAGTTAGTGAATGAGTGAGAGTGGAAGAGTTAGTGAATGAGTGAGAGTGGAAGAGTTAGTGAATGAGTGAGTGAGTGGAAGAGTTAGTGAAAAAATGAATGAGTGAGAGTGGAAGAGTTAGTGAATGAGTGAGAGTGGAAGAGTTAGTGAATAAATGAATGAGTGAGAGTGGAAGAGTTAGTGAATGAGTGAGAGTGGAAGAGTTAGTGAATAAATGAATGAGTGAGAGTGGAAGAGTTAGTGAAAGAGTGAGTGGAAGAGTTAGTGAAAAAATGAATTGAGTTAAAATGGGAGAGTTAGTGAATGTGAGAGTGGGAGAGTTGGTTGCAAAGTGATTTAGCGAGTGAGTAAGTGTGTGGGTGGGGGAGTGAGTGAGTGGAAGAGTTAGTGAATGAGTGAGAGTGGGAGAGTTAGTGAATAAATGAATGAGTGAGAGTGGAAGAGTTAGTGAATGAGTGAGAGTGGGAGAGTTAGTGAATGAGTGAGAGTGGAAGAGTTAGTGAATGAGTGAGAGTGGAAGAGTTAGTGAATGAGTGAGAGTGGAAGAGTTAGTGAATGAGTGAGAGTGGAAGAGTTAGTGAATGAGTGAGTGAGTGGAAGAGTTAGTGAAAAAATGAATGAGTGAGAGTGGAAGAGTTAGTGAATGAGTGAGAGTGGAAGAGTTAGTGAATAAATGAATGAGTGAGAGTGGAAGAGTTAGTGAATGAGTGAGAGTGGAAGAGTTAGTGAATAAATGAATGAGTGAGAGTGGAAGAGTTAGTGAATGAGTGAGAGTGGAAGAGTTAGTGAAAAAATGAATGAGTGAGAGTGGGAGAGTTAGTGAATGTGAGAGTGGGAGAGTTAGTGAAAGAGTGAGAGTGGGAGAGTTGGTGGCAAAGTGATTTAGCGAGTGAGTGTGTTGGTGGTTGGGGGAGTGAGAGAATGTGATATGCCCACCAAGACATGATGCTGCAGTCTAAAGAGAGATATATCCTCAAAAGAGAATCAAGTTTCGTTCCCCATATATGTCCTCAAAAGAGAATCACGTTTACTTTCCCATATATGTCCTCAAAAGAGAATCATGTTTAGTTCCCATATGTCCTCAAAAGAGAATCATGTTTAGTTCCCCATATCTCCTCAAAAGAGAATCACGTTTAGTTCCCCATACGTCCTCAAAAGAGAATAACGTTTCGTTTCCCATATACGTCACAATAAGAGAATCACGTTGAGTTTCCAATCAATTGTATAATTTCAAGCGGAGTCAGAAGGCCGGAAAGTAGACATATGATCTTTGTCTTCCACGGCGCAACAATGACAGGCTGAAGTTTCCCATCTGTTCCGTTCATGCATACCTTGTTCAGGTCCTTCTTCAGCGCTGCTGTCATCCTGTCTTTGTTTTCATCCATCATCTTCAACATGGCCGACAGCTGTGCGTAACGCCATTCATAGGTTTTGGTGCGCCCTGTCCTGAACACTTGGCGCACTGCCCGCACAACCTACAAGCAAAACGTGTTAGCAATCTTTAGCATGTTTGGAACAAATCTGAAAATTCTTCTGTAAAAGTTCATGCTTGTTGCACAGACTTTGATCAAATCAAGACAATGGCAGTAGTCAGGGTGCAACACGAACAATATCTCGTCAGCCCGAGGTTAGTTACAATACATACGAGGACAGTATTCCAGTTGTCCTGGTGCCCTTTCTGTCACTTACCACTGAATTTTCGCTATCCTTTCCATTCAGAGTTTCATTCTTTCAAACACAGAAACCAAGTTAAACAAAGAAGGCAATATTGATCATATGATATGATCATGTGATGAATCAATATTCAAGGTCACTGTCAGTCATATCATTTAACAAAACCTTTTCAGGCGAGTTTTCTATTTAACCAATGAAATTAAAAGATTCTTAATGATAAACGGTGATAACACGAGTACTCGACATTTGCGAGATGTCACAAATACATTAGTGAACATCTGGCAGGGGCTTCCCTTCCCTGTCTTTGTAATCAGGAGTCTAGTTAATCATTCTATGAAACCTGACTGATATTAAATATATTCAGGACTTGCTCGGATGTAGAACATAGATGTGTACTGAACTTGCATTTTGAAGAAGCATTTGATGGATGTTGATTTCAAGCTCATGAACAGGTGCCCAAGTTTCATTTTGTATCAAGTAGCTATACAGCTACAAATACTTTTTCCCAGGTAGTCACTGCTAAAATCAAGAAGTCAAGCCAAAATGGAAGGTAGCCCAAAACATTTGAATTTATCTTTTAAAAGCATTTTAACAAATCACACAAAACCATAAAGCAGCCACGTCCATTGGACAGCCAATTAGCTTCTCCCAATACCTGTGAATTAGCATAACAGAGTGAGTGAGTGAGTGTCATTTAAGGCTGCATTCGGCAATATTCCAATCTTATCCATGTTATCAGTGTCAGCTTCTGTATACAGTCAAGTCCCATGAATCCAACATCAGTGGTAGCATATGATTATGTCAATAGATAATGAACGCGTAATAAAAAACTTGTATCTGAGATTGAGGGAATCTAAGCATGTCATTAATCCTGTTTTCTTTATTTAAAGCATTTATTGTTTATTGTTAAGCAAGTTCAAAACACGGGCTGTGTACCCACGGGCAGATGACCATGGAGTACACTGATCACTGTGTCGGATTAACAAGCCTGATTAATGAGTGATTTCAGTAATTCATAGCAAATTAGGTGTGTCGGAGTCGGAGTTTGAGACTGTCGGATTAACGGGTCTAAATAGCCCTGATTTAATCGGTTCCCATCATTAGTGTTGGATAAAGCAGATTGTTGGATTAACAAGTGTCGGGTTAACGAGACTTGACTATATATAACAATTTAGTGCTGACAGCAAGGTCAGATGCAAAACATTACAATAATTAAGTGCAACAATAATTGAAACCAGCTGTCACACAACCTATTGCATGTAAAGCATATTAAACACATGATACCTGTTTGAGAATATTAATTGGTTGGTTGGTTTGGTTGGTTTGTTGTTTAACGCTGCACTCAGCAATATTCCAGCTATATGATGGCGGTCTGTAAATAATCGAGTCTGGACCAGACAATCCAGTGATTAATATCATGAGCATCAATCCACACAATTGGGATCAATGACATGCATCAACCAAGTCAGCGAGCCTGACCAGCCGATCCTGTTAGTCGCCTTTTACGACAAGCATAGTCGCCTTTAATGGCAAGCATGGGTTGCTGAAGATCTATTCCGTGAAGATCCGGGTTAGAATAAAAAAGAGAATATTAATAGACATGATAGAAACACACTGTCTTCTTAAAAATAAAAAACTCAGTTCATTTATGGGTTTCATATGAAAATGATTGACATACATACTTCCATGAGAACCATCAAGAGGGTGGGGTGGTGGAGGGGGAGGGGGAGGGTGGTGGTGGAGTAGGGTTGGGGTGGTTTAGGGGGTGGGGGTTAATGAAGGGGAGCCTTTTTGCAGATCAAGTGTAACTTTGTTTGCTTGTTTGTTGTTTAACGCCGCACTCAGCAATATTCCAGCTTTATGACGGTGGTCTGTAAATATTTGCGTCTGTTCCAAACAATCCAGTGATTGATATCATCAGCATGGATCTACGCAATTGGGGTACGATAATATGCATCAACCAAGTCAGCGAGACTGATCACCCGATCCCGTCTTATGACAAGCAGCAAGCATGGATTGCTGAAGGCCAATCTCTACCCGGAATCCATCTTCCCGAGGCAAGAGAGTTAACTGACTTTAAAAAAAGTCCAGTTTTCACCCTTGCCGAACTAGGCTGAAATTCCTGGGCTCGATCGTAGCGCCACCAGTGGCTATTGCGAGTTATGTCCCTTCTATGCCTCTCCTGTGGACCAATCAGATTTCACCTCTCGTATCACTTGCATTTGCTTCAAACAAAGCGGCGGCGCCCAGTCAAGACGATTTGATCAATAATCAAAATCTATATATTGTGATAAAACGAATCTTACACCGCGAAGTGCAATAAATCATGTGAGCACCTTGATTAAAAACATGAAAAGATTTAGAAAATATCTGTTGACAAGTTAGCGGTGCAAATGTTTTGCAAATCCTCCAATCAACCGAAATCTGCATGACAGTTTACGAACCGGATTTCGATTTTGATTGGACTATGCATAGACTCGTTAGTCCAGCCAAAGTGTAACTCCATAATACCAGCCTAGTTCGGCAAGGGTGGAAACTGGACTTTTATTGTCAGTTAACTCACTTGCCTCTGGAAGATGCCCGGAAATATGCTCGAACTGTATCTAGAAGCTCCAGATAACTTTTTGAGCAATTGAGTTTTTACTCTAGGGTTTCTATTTTAATTGGGTTATTACATTCTTCATTGGGTAGCCAATATTTTTTCACTTCTCTATTCATCACTCTATTGGGTTTTTCCCCAAATTAGTGAACATGTTAAGATTTATAAAAATATATGAAATAATGTTATAGATAACTGTTCTGAATATATGGGCTTGACTTGGAAAGTAAATTAGCTCGTAATTGTGTTTCGGAAATGAACTTCTTTGTAAACCTTTTTTGGGGGTATTTTACGCAAATACGCAGCTTATCTGTAGCTCTGGGTGAAACGATAAAGCATGGACGAGATACGATACATAGGTCACGATACAATACGTATAACAATCTGCATATGCATGTCAAATCGCGTGGAAACTTCTTGATATAAATATTTCAGAGCATGTTTATGAGTGAGTGAGTGAGTGAGTTAGTTGGGTTTAACCCCGCTTTTAACAGTATTCCAGTTATATCGCGGCGTGTCAGCTTAATGTGGGAGGAAAGCCCGAAGTGATGCAGGTGAAACCCATGAGCACGGGTATGGTGCTGACAAACCTAGAAACATAATCGGGGCGATCCGGGATTCGAACCCACAATCATAGATTTCTGGCGTGCCCAAGGGACGCAACTCTGCACAGCGAATCGCAGCGCCTTAGACGAATGGGCCACCCGTGCCCCGCATGTTTATGAATCATCATGCATCTAACTGTTTGACTGGCATTCTAGAAGTTGGTGAGCAAATAAGAAAACATACAACTTATTGGATAACATCAATAACAGTGTAAGAATCTACATCAAAATGTTTCAAAATGTAATAAATCAGAAGTTACTTTTCAGAAAGTATATATTTTTATCGTCATTGTACTACAGGTTCTTCCTCACTGTAAAGAAAGCATGGAAAATATTTTTAACTATACAGAAAAAAAGTAGTGTGTATCGTATCATGGCATGATAACTCGTGAAGCACCGGTGCATCAGTTCACCACTACCTGTGTCAAAGCACATCGAGATACGTACCAAGTCTGCAATTTCAGTCCCCACCATCATAATAATAGGCTATTTATATTGTGCATATTTCCACACCACTCGGGCATGCTCAAAGCGCTATTATTATCCTGGTCACTGGATCAATGTGCAGTCAATCTTTCTCAGCTCCCTGGGGAGTATACAACCCATGCTACCTGTTAGGCGCTAGAAGGCTAACAACCACCATCCTACCGGGTACCCATTCACTGCTGGGTTAACAGAGGCACATTTCGAACAAAGTCACTTGCCAAAGTAGATACCACATGTGGTACATGTGCTTCAGTGTGGGGCAGGACGAAGCCCTAGAAACTCTCAGGAGTCAAGCTGCTGAACGTGGTCACCCATCCAGCTACTCTCCGAGACTGACGTTGCTTAACTTCACCTGATTTGTGATCTGTGCGCTGTGCACAGGACCACGTGCCGCCACAATGATGTGCATGCATGTGTTTGTGTGGCTGCTTGTACTAGTCCAGATTAATGCTGGTTATCTAGGGCTGGCCCACCAAGACAAGATGCTGCAGTCTAAAATGGATACCCCACTCTGACATATTTTACTGACTCAATTACTCCTTGTTTTAGTCCCTTAATGTCGAGCGCCAGGCAGGGTAACAACAAGAACCATCTTTTAACGTCTTTTGGAATGACATGGGGATCAAACCACCAGCCTCCCGCTCTCCGAGAAATAGCTCTATTCACGAGACCACAGAGTGAGTGAGTGAGTGAGTGAGTGAGTGTGAGTTTGGTTTTACGCCGCTTTTAGCAATATTCCAGCGATATCACGGCAGGGGACACCAGAAATGGGCTCCACACATTGTACCCATGTCGGGAATCGAACCCGGTCTTTGGCGTGACGAGCGAACGCTTTAACCACTAGGCTACCCGACCGCCCCACACAACCACAGAGGTGGGGGCTGAACCTGTGATGACAAGTGACATTGACACCGACAGTTTCCAGCATCTTGTGCATGCAATCAAAAACATCAGGAATGTCAACCTGAGCCATGTCATCATATCCCAATTGCGTGGATCGATGCTCATGATATCAATCACTGGATTGTCTGGTCACTCGATTATTTACAGACCGCTGTCATATAGCTGGAATATTGCTGAGTGCGGCGTAAAACAACAAACCATCCAACCA